AACTCTTGGTCTTGTAAAGAAAAAATTGTAAGTTCTATGAGTTCTAATGACGGAATGAATATTGACAGTTGTAAATTTTCTGATTTCTATCTCACAACTTTTGAATCACTTGAGTTGCAACATGTATTTTTCCACAAAAGCATATTAACTGTTTTTTGTGTGAGCCAGAAAACTTATGAGCAATAACTCCATTGTAAAATCTAATTAGCTACTGTATCAAATTTTGACACTCGTCATGTTGAAAATCACATCGCATAGAGATACAATGTTAAAATAAGGGAATTATTGATATGTTCCTTTCAACTACTGTCTTATTCTTTTTGTCCTTGAATAACACATAATGTGTTTTGTGATGTAATCTGTGTTAGTCTTCTCTTGCATCCTCTGCCTGAGATTACTTTTATTTCGATGCATCGAACATATGTTGCGCCGAGGAATCTGTAACATTGGAATACATTTAGGGCACTCCTTATTTTTCATGTGCATATTGTCCTTTGGGCTAAATGGACCTAGGCACAACAGATCACTGTAGTTTATGAACAGGAAATATAATGCATGTTGTGGTTTGTTGTGTTCCGCAACCTCATTGCGCGTCTCCTCAATGATTCCTGAAAACAATAAACTTGTATTTAGATATTTTTATTACATGCTTCTCAATAAAAATATAAGGCTATAATGAAATTAATGACTGATAAGCCATACTTGTTGATACGTATTTCAAGCAAAATTTGTTAGGGCTCTTACTCTTACTTTACTTTAAAATAAAATAACACTAATGACAATGTTATTTGCGATGCAATAAAAAAAAAAAAGAGAAATTTATTACATTTAATTTCATATTACCATTTTAATTGCTATAAATATAGGACAGTGTAAGACAAATGTCACAATAACTAAATTCATAAATTGTTTATAGGTTTTATTTTTACTACAGTCTACAGTTCACTATCACAAAAGTAACAGGAACAGTGTTTATTATTATTAATAATCTTTAAAAAAAGTATAAGTATAGCCCTTATTCAATGGTCTATAGTGAGCACAGCATAGGCTTAGCCTTATAAATAATTGAATTTGAATCTAAATGAAAAATAGATTTTTAAGACTTACCAAGGCATTGTATTTTTCTATGTTTTTCCTGCTGGTAAAGTAGCGTAGCGATGCTTGAACTTTAAGCGACTAGCACTAGGAGTAGGCTTAGTCTTAGTAGTTTAGTGTACTCAGTCTTGGTCTTCTGCGAAAAGGAGAAGCATTAATCATGTTTATTATGGCAATCAATCAAAGCCAACTCATTTTGTGTGGTTATTTACTTATTTAGTTGTTTTTTAAATCCTCAAATGAATTTATTACCGACAAATTACATATCGAACTTGCTAAGGCCTCACGAAATTATTTACGGTTTGTTTATACCGGAAGTGACCTTTACAAACAGATTTCCTACACAGGAACCAATAAAAATGCTCATT